ATATAATAGCATTTTTAGATTTTTAAATAGGTGCTAAGAATGGTGTCTGTAGTGTTACAAAGTAATTGTCCTTGTCCGTAAAGACGAATTAGTAATCGGTACAAATGAATTAGCAATCCGTACAAACTAATTAGTAATCTGTACGAACAGATTACAATATATACTTGATTGGCATTAATGAGCTTTTCTAGTTTTCTGACTAAAATAAATAGCTTATTGTCTACACAGTTACTGAACACTGAAATGGTAGGTGTATATGCTTTAGTGAAGGCTTTTGAATTCATCTTCATACTGTTGCCTGTGAAGTTTCCATTTCAGAAATTGTCTTTCGAACTGCAGTTTGTGCGTTTCAAATTACGGAGGTCATCTGTAAACCTAGGATGCAACTGGGCAATGAACAACTTTCTTCTTAATGATCAGAGCTTGCTTATCAAGTATTATGTAAAGTTTCTTTATATTGAAGAACAGGGTCTTCAACATAAAGGATGCAGTGATTTGCCACAAGATCATAGAAAATAGAATGCCAAAAATAAGTGTAAAAACATTTATTAAATGTTTTCCCCATAGGCATTGTTTCAATTAGTGGGGTAATAATGTGGAAAAATGTTCTAGACTTAGTTGTACAGAGCGCTATATAAAAACCTACATTTTTAGTATTGTTATTATAAAAAGAGAAACAGCTAACTCACCACATGCCCACACGCCCGCTGCTAAGAATGTTAACACAAACGACGCTTGACTTCCTCTGAAATAGTCAAAGGTATAGGGATCTGTACAGTTGTCCAATTCAGTCTCAGATAAAGTCAAATCAAACGCCTCCAAAGCTTCTTCATAACATACATCATCTACAAAAATACATAAATTATTTAAAATCAAATTGTTATTACAATTTGACAAGTTGTAATAATTTAAAATCAAATCAAGTTATTATTAAAATTTATCAAAATGAAATAAAAATGTAAACAGGTACAATAACTTCCCTTATATCATTCACTGAAATCTGGTCAGATTTTTTACACGACAATAGACATGCTAGGCTAGGCCCACTGTACCTATTTTGTAGTACTTAGCCAAGCGCTTAACCAAGTAGGCCTACTTAGCCAAAGAAATAGTATTGTGTGTTAAAATAGTGTTAATCGTTTGTCCAAAGCATTTCAATATGACTCACCTTCATAAAAATGAAAAGGATCCCGCTGAATATCACCTTCATTGATATTTGTAGCATTGATTAACACATCAAATATTGTAATATTCCAAATCTCTTGACGTTCCTCTTCAGTGAATGGGCTGTAAGTATACAGAATATGAATAAACGTTAATGCAAGTACTGATAGCCAAGCTACGGAGAAAACCATTTATATATTGTACAACTCATTTTTCTTAGAACGGTTAATGATATTTTTATGAACATCAATTAAAATAATAAAAATGCGTTTTTTTAACAGGCATCAATTAGGATGCGCCAACTGCTAGACAGTCTGTACATATTTATATAGGATCATAGGCTTAGCCAGCATCTTTTGGACGGCCAAAAATTATAGGACGGCCACTTTTACCGTGACGGCTTGGCCTAATCAGCTCGGACCTGCCAAATTGGGCCTGGTCTACCTTTAAAAAATATATCGAATGTTACATTAAACTAAAGCTAAATCATATTTAAATTTGATAAAAACAATCTTTACTGATTGAATGTACATTGTTTTCATACAAACATTTGGTGGGGATTCCCAAAAATGTAAGGCCCATTGACTACATGGTGTTCACTTAAAAAACGTGTCATGTTAAAAGCTTTTATACCCTGCCTGAAAATGGACGGTTCTGAGTCGGCCACAATGCATGCCCGTGGCTCTGCAAATACAATAAGGTACTTGAGACTCGGTTCCCCAACATAATATTGTTGGTGTTCGCACTCTCTGGATATAATTAATTTATACCATAAAGAATTTGTTGGTAACGTCACAAGTTAAATTTTATTAGTCAACAAAATACAATAGGTCTAGTCCTACCCCTTGATTTGGAGGACCTAGAGTAGAATTTACGCTAGACTAATGCGAGAGATGAAGATGCATCTGCATAGCCTAGAAACATTATGTGAGTAACCGTAGCCGTGTGCAATCTATGTCTATAACTGGAATATTTTTGTGATAGCTAATTCAACACTATTTCTTTGAACACTATTAAAACATTTAATCACCTTTAAATGCCCTCCAAAGATTTAGTAATTTTCTTTTTTTTCCTTATGTTTGGGAGGGAGCGTGGCCCACCCGCCAGTGAATTTTTTGTTTTCCTTGACGTCTCAGCCAAGCCGATTGGTGGCGCTATAATTTCATATGAATATTTATTAGTAAAGATCCTTCTCTCTACCGCTCTGTGCTTCCCCCCTCTGCCGCTCTATTAATATCGTGTTGTTTTGCCGCGGCTTCCTCTTATTGAGTGAGTAGGCCAAAGTTTGTCGCGAGGGTTCAAGAGCTTTTTGCGATCCTGAGCTATTCGCCCATGAATTAAATTAAATCGGTCATTCCATGCCAACTCAATCAATTTCCAAAACGTTTCCACGGTGACCATCTTAGATTTTGCTGAAAATTTAACCAAATATACTTTTATGTATTATGAAAAATCAAAAAGTTTCATGGAAAAATTCCCAAGCATCAATTTATAAATCAAAAGGTATAAATTATTTAAAAATGCAAAGGACAACAATAAAAAGCTCAAAGCTTGTACAAGGTTTATGACAGAAAATGATGAACAAAAATATGAGTCAAGTACAAATAAATAAACAAAGAAAATAATATAAAAATATTATAATTACAGTAGTCTAAAAAATAATAGTGTCGTAATAATTAACTTTAAAATGAAAAATCAAAACTTAAACCTTATTATTATACATACAATTACATGAAACTGAAATATTATTTATTAATAATATACGCACTGGTGGATATGATGAGTTTATTGAGTGGACTAACCTAGATTTAGGCTATAGGCCTAATACAAGTATTGTTTGTACGTGACACTGATTACGCATTAACCACCATAAACCATCTCGCAGCTAATTTACATTAAAATTTGTAAAGGATAAAACATCAAAATTAAAGTATAAGGAAAAAGGTACATCTAAAAAAACACCATCAAACAGTAACAGTAAATATAAAATAGGTATTTTATAACATTGAAATTAGTAAATAAAACTGATTGTATGGAAAGTTTTTGACCATATAATGACCAATTATTGTTGTTGTTATTATTACTATTGATTTATTTATTTAAAGCTAACAAGTCTTCTCAGATAAGGACTATAAACCGTAGGCCCAGTGTATACAATGGCTCATGTGCACTATAAAGAACCCAGTACATCCTTCGATGACGAATAGGGGGATTCCCCGGTGTACTGGAACAGACGGCCCTGTGGTCGACGACAAGAGTTGCTGTTACCGGGTAGCACAGACACGAAGGGACACTTAGGGGTGAAGAAAGTCATTGATCGAGTTCCAAGTCCACATATCAAGCGCCCTGAGCATCTTACATTAGATGGATATGTGTGCTATATAAAACTACACTATTATTATTATTATTATTATTACTTTTTTTTTTATCAACAGAACGTCTTAGGGCTGTTTTCCGCAGACACCGTTTATACAGTAGCTTATCGCTGCCCACCTAGCCTTCGTGATATATAGTGAGATCTAAATTACAAGAGGCAAATTAACTCTTACGACAGACATAATTTGGACAGTCATTTTTGTGGTTCATCATGCAAAATATGCTCCTTCCTTTATTCTACACATTTATTCAAGACCAAAGAAACCACATATTTGGATAAGGCAATAAATTGATTGCCTTTCCAAAAATATAATTTATCTCATATAGACCTATTGTAAAACAATATTTTGGAGAAACAAAAAAAAAAACAAAAAAAAAACACTCATTGCACAGTGTGAGAATGACACAACATAAATCATCTATCAAAACATCTAAGCTTGATCTAACAGTAGCCAAACACTTTAATTCAGCTGGGCATTAAATTTCAGATTTACGAGTTATTGCAGTAGATCATAATGGTAATTAGAGCGACAAAAAATCCTAAGGGTAAAAAAAATCACTGGGAACTTTTAAAACCATCAAAACTTTTTCTAAATTAACCATCTATCAAAACATCTTTAGCTTGATCTACCAATAACCGAACATTTTTATTCAACTTTTAAACCACCACACTGTATGGACTCAATATTAAGAACATTCACCAAGTACATTAAATTAATTAAATAGCATTCAAAGTCTATCTATAAAAATCATTGCCCAACCAGCCTATTGTTTCTAGTCATGCTTTCTGACTTCTAACTTTATACTATCTTGCTTTCTCTGCCCTCACTTGCTTGCTACTTAGAAAAGTCTTGCCTAAAGTTCTGGTTCTATTTCTGGCTCTTTACTTGGGGTTATATATTAATGCTTGCAGTACATCTCATAGATGTAATAATAATTTGATTCCTCCACAAAACAAAGGATAAGAAGGGAAGGGAAGAAAATTTCTTATACATAAAAACTTACCCCCCGATTTCATTTTCAAACCAAAATCGGTCACCATCACGAATTCGACGAAACTGATCAAGGATGACAGTACGAAAGAGTTCTCCAGGTCCATTATTTGTAGTTTCAAGTAGACCACCTGGCCAAATATCAACTTTACTAATATCACCGCCATATGTTTCATTCAACCTGTCGAGCACCTATGACAAAAAATAATTTGAAAACCTAATAGTTGAAATTTTTCACATTCTGAATCTTATTCTAACACTTAATTATAATAGTTTTTATTTCACTCAAAAAGAAATGAGTCTGGTAGGCATAAAAGGAAACATGTCCCTGTACAAGATGCCTACCAGAGATAATTAGCGAAGGAACATGAACACCCCCCCCCTCCTTTTGCCACTGAATGTTAAAATGTCAATGCATATATTGCGCTATATAATTAGCGCTACTTACTTAAGTATCTATTTCTGAATGTGTTGTATTTGATTAGACATTTCATTATCATTTGGTTTCGTTTCACGTATATAGTAAAAATGTAGGAAGAAAGCCACCCCTGTCGAAAGCCACCCAACAATAGATTATACCATTGTAAGGTGGGGGTGCACAATGGGGTGTTTGTTTTGATGTTGGTCTACAATAGGTTTTGGCTGTAGTGCTAGGAGTTTATTGTGTCAGACCTCTTTTATTCATTTGTATATGGTATAATCCATTGTTGGATGGCTTTCGACAGGGGTGGCTTTCTTCCGATTTCCATATAGTACATGGTGCTATGTTGCAACACTCTTCAGATATAGAGGATTGAGATTTCGGGTTTCTTTTTCGTATTTTTCCTGTCAATTTAGTACGTTGCTTTATTATGTTTTGGATTGGATTGATTCGGTGTAAACACCAAGGATAGCCCACGAAAGTAAAAATGAAGACTTATTTCCAGTGGGGTCCCTTCTGGTGGTGATTGGGCAGTACACTTTTGGTATTTTTTTAGTTGATCTTTCTTTTATTATTTCTAATTGTATTTAATCTACTATCACGTATCCAAAGATACTATAAAATCCTCTAGCCTGTAGGTGGAATTGAACATTCCATTTCCAATAATCAAACAGATACCACCAGCTAACCCTTTCTTGAGAGGTGGTGCTATGCTGTGTACATACTTGTGGTCTGGTGTAAGAAACACATTGTCAACGTCAAAATGATATTACTGGACACAAGATATAGAGAGTGGACAGTGACTGGGTTTGCCTGAGGACCAATGATTGGGTATTTGAATGAGTAGGGTGGAACCAGATCCCCCTTATAGACCAAAAATATACAAGAAAAAATTAAGGAAGACAGCAGAGAAGACAAAGTAAAAACACTGAATTACCAATCGGAATTCATGTACACACAAGTATAATCCTAAAGTCGGACAGACTTAGGATTAATGTGATGACTATTTTTGACTTTAATATTTTTGACTTGGATCAAAAGAACCAGCTTGATTTGCTAATACCAAGTACAACCTGACGATTGCAAGAGAAAGGGATTCTGGACATCTATTTTTAGACATTTTCCTAAACTGAACTTTGTCGACGAATATAATTTTCAAGTGCACACAGTCCGTTTCGTACGTGAGTAGTTGTTAGGTTAGTTAAGTTCCCCTTTAACCCAATATATCCCCACTGAATAATAAATTAATTCCTAACAAGTATATAAATAGAGAGGCTTCAGTTTTATTTGTGGCTGTATTTTATTAACATCTACCTATTGAATCTATGCCCAACTATAACCGGAGTGACTATTCGCTTACTTAAAGAAGTGGTCACCCACTACATACACACATACAAAGTAGATCAAAAGTGATACGGCAGCTAGCTCCAAAAATTCAACTGAAGGAAGAAGTTAATACTTCATAATTTCGAGTGCATACTAAGCTCAAAGAGCTCAATCACCAAGCGCATAGAGGCTTTTTCGCATGATGCGCTCTACAAATCCAACTATTATTATTATTATTACTAACTAAAAGGGAAATCAGAAATAAATTCAGTAGGAAGAAATATCAGTAGGAATTAATGTCATTAACAAAGGAATGATCCATTTCAGAATAGGGGTGTTGGTTAAGACATAGACAGGAGCCATTACACACCCAGTTAATCCTACTCATATGGTAATTCGGTGTTCATAGCATAATTAGCAAAGTACAGTATCTGTTATTTCTTTACTGTATTAACTGGGCTAATTATTTATTAAGTTGTATATATTTATTTTACCAAATTTACCATAGAGCATCATCATTATTTAAGTACAGTAAATACAATATTCATTACTAAAAATGCACTCATCATAGAGCATACTAAATTCTGTTGTATTTTTTTACATATTAACTAGGCTATTTATTTATTTATTAGGTTGTACTTATCCGTATTTATTTTACTAATACTAAATTTACCATTGAGCATCATCATTTCTGTTTATTGTATTTCTTTTAAATATCATAGTACATGAATAAATACAATCTGGTTAGGTTGTATTTATTTCAGTACAGTACATACAATCTAATAATCAATGTATTTATTTTTCACGTAAGTGTAGTAAGTAATATAGTACATTTAATAACATAATAATACAACCTAATAATATAAATAAGTTCACTTAGTTTTTTATTGCATTAACTAGGACTAATTTATCGAAATGCATGCCATCTTCTCAGGATTCAATATTTCAACATTAATTATGTCATCATCAGGAATGATGGGCCTGATATATTAGGTTTTTTTACTAAATTCACTCATAGAGCATTATAATTTCTATTGTATTTCTTTAAGTATCACAAATTTAGTTAAATAAATACAACTTGGTATATTATTTAAGTAAATACAATCTAAAAATTAGGCCTATTAATTTAATGTACTGTACTATATAGTATACAGTAGTATAGTTTTAGTATCACACTTAAATATACAATAATCTTAACAAAATTCTATTAGGTATTTATTTAAGTTACAAAATTAAATACTATTATTATCTTGTATTACTATTGTTGTTAAATGCACTATAATAATATTTAATACATTTCGTAAATAAATTCAGGTATTATTGATTGTATTTACTTGTATAAATACAGGGTGACCATAAATACAACCAGACTGTTTTTATTCAAGTAAATGTACTATTATACTTAAAAGAAATACAAAAAAACAGAAATGATGAATATTTAGCTAATAAATAAAAAAATTAATATATGATACTAATTCAACTTAACAAATCTCTTAATAAAATAATAATTATGAGCTGATTTATTAAGTTGTTATTAAGTGTACAATACTAAACACAACAAACTTAAAGTATCATATATAGTACATTAAATTAAATAAATACAGCCTCATAGGCCTGATTATTAGATTGTCATATTCTCAACCAACAACAACAGTTCTTTTCAGAACTATCTACGTGGTGTACCGCAAGCATTAATTATATATTATACTTCAATGCTAAGACTGTAGTCAACCTCAGCAAGCATAATCTAACAGCTGCTGAGAAATCAGTACTTGTCCTAGGCTAGAACTTTGCTACGCCACCTTCGACTATACCGAAGGAAGAGATCATCCAACGAGTAGAACCATCGCTAAATGGGATTGATAAGACCTTAGCAGACAACATCCGCATGCAGATCTCTCAAGTACTACGCAAAGACACCAGACCAAAATCTAACATCACCAAGGTTGAACGAGATGCATTAAATAGCCTCAGAGCCGACCCCACTATCCATATTATACAAGCTGATAAGGGAAATGCAACGGTCGTCATGGATGTCACCCAGTACAACGAGAAAATCATGCAACTTTTGAACACTCCTACGTATAGGAGGATCAAGAAGGACCCCACGCAAGCTTTCAAAGAAAGGTCGCAAGCAAGCTACTCAACCTACATCGTTTGGAGGCGCTTTCGAAGACTTTGTACCTCTAACTTCGACCTTCAGCATCCATATGGCCTGGACTATTTGGACAACCAAAAATCCACAAAACGGACATACCACTACGACCCATCGTTTCTTCGAGAGGATCACCAACATACCCCCTCGCCAAGTATCTAGCCCGGTTACTCTATCCATTGGTAGGCAACACTGGTCACCATGCCATCAATTCTCAACACTTCGTGAAGACGATCCAGGATATTTACCTCAAACCAACCGACACTCTCGTCAGCTTCGACATCAAATCTTTATTCACAAATGTACCGGTGAAGCAGGCTCGTCTTATAGCAAAACATCGTCTAGAAGAGGACCCTACTCTCAAAGACAGAACAGCACTCAACCCCGAACAGATCCACGACCTGCTTTTACTTTGTTTACTCTCTACCAGTTTCAGATGGCATGACCAATTCTTTGAACAAACTGAAGGCAAGGCCATGGGATCTCCTTTATCTCCAGTCATTGCCAACATCTTCCTTGAAAAATTCGAACAGCTGGCTATTCATTCCGCCACCCGACAACCCAAACTTTGGCTACGATACGTCGATGACACATTTATCATTTGGCAACAGAGCAAGGTGCACCTAGATAGTTTTCTAGACCACCTGAACTCTCAGCACGGTGCTATCTTGTTTACCATGGAAGAGGAACACAATCCCTCTTTACCTTTCCTTGATGTTTTGGTCACCAGGCCGAACTCAGGCATTTTATCGCATTTAGTCTACCGCAAACCAACTCCGACAGATATTTGAATAAACGCTCGTTTCACCACCCATCTACCAAGAAAGGAGTTTGCAACACACTTATCAGAAGTGAGCACAAAGCATCAGTGACCGCAACTCCATCCAGAAAGAGATGCAACATGTAAAGGAAGCCCTGAAACTCAACGGTTATCACATGAGAGATTTGAAAATACACAAACGTAGCAATAGCCAAGATGACACGGAACCTAGAAAGTCTGTTTACCATTTTTGGGACAGCTTTCTCACCGTATTCAACGCATTCTACAACTAGCCGATATTAAAGTTTTTCATAGTGCACCCAACAAACTATCAAGGACTCACAAGGATAAGCCACCAGCAAATAGCCAGCCAGGAGTTTATCGGATACCATGCGAATGCGGAAAGGCTTACATTGGTGAAACAGGTCGTGATCTCCGTACCAGGCTCAAGGAACACCAAGGCCATGCCAGGAGAGGGGAACAACAGAAGTCATCTATAGTCATGCACTCCCACACACAACAACATCGTGTATGTTGGGATAAATCTGAACTGATAGCCACTGTACCATCTTGGCATTCCAGACGGACCAGAGAAGCTATAGAAATTCACAAACACGATACAGTACATCAAGATATTGGATTTGTCATCAGCGATATTTGGTTGTCCATGTTTAACCGAACCTAAACCAAATTTTTCCCGCCAAATCTTTCCATCTACACTGGAAACTATGCCATTGTTTTTGGCTTTCCTTCCCCCAGCTAGAACAATGCCACTATCTTGGCTTTCTAGCCACGCCCCGCCCTTCTATTCAGACCGTGAATTTTAGCTTTTGTATAGCTTTTCACTGGTAGGCTCAGCCTTTGTTTAGTTTTCAACCAATCAGCAGCAAGTCTCATCACTCAAACATATAAGTAAGATGTGTATAAGAGACTGAAGACGGTTGAAGCAAGTCAACCGAAACGTCGAGATATTCTCAACCAACAACAACAGTTCTTTTCAGAACTATCTACGTGGTGTACCGCAAGCATTAATTATATATTATACTTCGCCATGCAAACATTCAAACAATAGATTGTCATATTTACTTAAATAATTTGCTGATATATATTATTAAAGTATCCTATACTATATAGTTAAATAAATACAGCTTAATAGGCCTAATTATTAGATTGTATTTACTTAAATACAACCTAACCCAGTTGGAATAAGTAAATGTGTGATACTTTAATACAACAGAAATTATGATGCTCTATTCTATGAGTGAAGTTAGCAATAAATACAAAGTAATACATTAGGCCTAGTTAATGCAATAAAGAGATAAGTGAACTTATTTCTATTATTAGGTTGTATAATTACTGTTACTAAATGTACTATAATATTTAATACGTAAATAAATACAGACGTTATTAGATTGTATTTACTCTGATAAATTTAGTAAAATAAATTTAGTAAAATAAATTTAGTAAAATAAATATTTACTTACAACCTAATAAATAATTAGTTTAATACAATGGAGAAATAACTGATACTGTACTTCGCTTATTATGCTATGACACCAGAAATTACCATATGATTAGGATTGACTGGGTGTGTAATGGCTCCTGTCTATTTCTTAACCAAAATTCTGAAATGGATCATTCCTTTGTTAATGATATTAATTCCTACTGATATTTCTTCCTACTGGCTTTATTTCTTCCTACTGGCTTTATTTCATACAATTAGGCGGATTCAGATCTGATAAATACAATAAACTGTCAGCATTAAAAAATTGGAACAATTAAATAAGACACAATTGAGTAGGACAAAGAAAACACTGATAAACAACGTAATTCAAAGACCATTCTAACAATGACAAATTTCAACAATTTAAGCTGACTGGGCTATTGTGTAGTTAAATAGTGTATTTCTTTTATTCCTGATGATGACATAATTAATGTCGAAATATTGAATCCCAACACGATGGCGTGTATTTCAATACTTGGAGTATGTATTATACTTTCTTATTTCTTTTATGTTCTAGTTATTTACTTCTGTTTCTGTTTTTAATTGATGTTGGATTAAGTTGCCACTTTGTATTTGACCAGGGAAGACCGATGTGCTTTAGTCATTTACAGGACTGAATTGTTTGGGATCTGTTGTGCAAGTCAGCTCTCTCTGCCTGGTGGTGTCGTTCTAGTGACATAGTTGGAACGTACAGTATAGTAAATAATATTGGATAAGAATGCAGAGCGTAAATCAATCTACTTAATTGTTTATTTTTTATGCAAGTAGTCTGAAGCTGTCAGTGGTTTGAACATGTCTGGTTGAATTCGAACCTGCACGTGTGTGACATACGTCCAGACCACCTCATCCTATACGGTATAAGCGCAAACCAATCCATCAGATACTACATACAACTGAGCATAGAGCAAATATATCTGTTTTTTTGCTTTATGAACTGATTTACCTCATTGATAATGGAGATATGATTGTGCTAGAAACTAGCTTGGAGCTTACAGCTGGGAATCCAGACATTTTAACATTGCTAACTACTCTTTTTTCATAATTGCTAACTACTATTTGCGCTATACCGAGATCAGAAGGCTTTTAAATTTGCGTTTGAAACTAGAAACAGAAGTTTATTTTTAAAATTAGGAGGTATAATCTTCCAGAGTTTAGAACTGTTAAAGAAGACTGAAGAGCACCTAAGTTTTGGAAAGGATAAATCGCAAGTAAAGTTAGTTTCAGAAAATCTCGTATTATACGTATGTATCTCAGATGTGTTAGTAATAAAGAACGTATATAATATGGAACAGTACCTTTAGAAAGATGATACATGAAAGTAGAAGTATTAAGTTTGTCTAAATCATAAATATTAAAAATGTTTAAATAAAGATTTAGAATGCGAATTAAATGGTGTGTCTGAACAGATTCTGAAACTCTTTTCTGTAATTTAAAACTGTAGTCAATGTGAGTAAACTCTACTTGTCCGTGGGCAAAGGGTTTTGTAACAGCCCAAGTAATATTACAGTAAGATAAATAGGGTAAAACCAATATTACTAGAACCATGTACCAATGTTAGTGAGTATATTTTAATGTGGTTTCCAAGCAAGTTGAAGTATCATTAATGTGAATTAATAAAAATAACAAAAAACCTAAAATGGAGTCAGTTATGCAATCCAATTTTTATGCAATTTGTAATATAATGTAATGAGGAAATAATGTGATTCCCTTTTGATGTATTTTTAGGTAGAATGGTTATTGTGTATTTTTCGTGCAGTTTTTATGGTTGTCTTTTTCTTTCAATTTGTCCGCTGTGTATTTATATAAGTATGTCATGGCACTTCATGTTGAACATATTTTGACGCAATTGTGTTTTTAACTGCCAAGTTGAGTATTTTTTATTAAATGAACCTGGGACGCTGGGATCAGTATATAACATTCAGTCATTGGGTTTACATGCTTAAGTGTTGCTGCTGTAATCAACGTAAGAGCAGGCAACCCCACCAGGTACCAATTTGTACTCCTGTGTAGAGAGAAGCAATGGCGACAGATTAAAACCCCAACTTCAAGACTGGAAACCAAACCATTCAAGCTACACCTAATCACTTCTCCAATAAAGGTAAGCATCTTAACCACAACAAGTTTTGAAAATCTAGCTTATCTTGGGCTTTGGGCGAGTTAATTATATTTATTGTACTTAAATTACTGAATCTTACTTCACATTTAATTGCTGCTTTGTCACTATCACAGTGAGGGTTGATATCTCTAAAGTTTTCTCTGACTTTCAACCCGTAAGCTCTTCTTGCAGTATTGTAATCTGGCAAGCCATGATCACGAGCACGTTGTATATTAATAGCCATGAGATCACGACGAGAAAAGTCCAATCTACCAAATACATTACCTAAAGACAGCAGAGAATTTAAATTAACAAATATACTAACTCACTACCTAGAAATAGTAATGATTTTAAATTTACCAAAAGAAAAAAAACAGTCTACCATATATATACACATATACATATTTATATATACATACATATATATACATACATATATATACATACATATATATACATACATATATATATACATATACATACACATACATATACATACACATACATACACATACATACACACACACACACATACATACACACAAATATAAGTTTATATATACACACACACAGACACAAATACGGTTTGGATGGGGTTTGCACTGTGTTTTGGAGGGTTTGCGGGGTTTAGCAATTTTTTTTATACAAAAAATGGCCTTTCTACACCAAAAATAGGTTGTGACGAACATAAAATTATAATTTTTTTTTATTGAGATACAAGTGAGTCCTATACTAAGTGATTCAATCACTATCACAAGGTTTGGATGGGGTTTGCACTGGGTTTGCACTGTGTTTTTGGGGTTTTGCGGAGTTTAGCAATGTTTTTATACAAAAAATGGCCTTTTTACCCCAAAAATAGGCTGTGACGAACATAAAATTATGATTTTTTTTTACTGAGATACCAAGTGAGTCCTATACTACAGGCCTCGGGTATGACATGATTTTGAAAGGCACCAAGGCCAAATGGAAGGCACCAAGGCCAAAATTTCAAGTATAAAAGGGCACCCAAGGCAAAATTTGATTTAGCCTCAGTACTAACTTCTCGCGAGTGCCTTGATTCGTCGTAGCCAGGCTAGGCAAGCTAGCCCTAGGCCAAGCCAAGCTAGGTCTAGCCAAGCCATAGTTGTCAATGGTAAGATGACTTTGTTTAGAGTATTAACTATTAATTATCGATTCAATGTTGGAATATACTACGGCGGTCAGCGATCGTACAAAACAGTCAAATTTCAAGAAATTTGATATCTTTGTGTTGTTGCTGAGTGCGTCGTCATCTGAGAGGAAGCCACAACTCTAAAAGCCGAGTTTCAACCTATTACTGTACGTTAATTTCACACACACATGATCGCCCAAAGTTAGCTGTGCAGTAAGCACATGTTTACAACTACTACAAAGGCCGTTTTCGACTGGTTGTTTTTCGTTAAACCACGCCCACCTGCCCAGCGGTAACATCCTGCTCAACGAAGACGACCAGTCGAATAAAAAACTTGTAAATACTCGACAAAACAAAATGGCTGTATAATTTTGGGGGGTTTGCAGGGTTTAGCAATTTTTTTATACAAAAAATGGCCTTTTACCTCAAAAATAGGTTGTGATGAACATAAAATTAAGATTTTTTTATTGGGATACCAAATTGAGTCCTATACTACATGAATCAATCACTATCACAGGGTTTGGATGGGGTTTGCACTGTGTTTTGGGGGGTTTGCGGGGTTTACAATTTGTTTATACAAAAAATGGCCTTTTTACCCCAAAAATAGGTTGTGATGAACGTAAAATTAAGATTTTTTTTATTGAGATACCAAATTGAGTCCTATACTATGTGATTCAATCATTATCACAAGGTTTGGATGGGGTTTACAGTGTTTTTTTGGAGGTTTGCAGGGTTTAGCAATACCCCTGTAAACCTACTATTTTACAACATATTTGTGAACATGATAAGTATTTCATCTAAATGTTAAACTATTCTTTTCAGTCAAATTCAATAGTTTACTTGCCTCTCAAATCCTCTGTAATGATATTATCTTCTCGCTCACAAAGTTGTGATGCCATACCCATAAGAAAACTTTCAAAACCAGTTTCTTCAATGGGAAGCTAAGGAGAACAAAGTATACAATGGTCGAATACTCAGATGGTATGCAATGGCAACATTTGAAGTTGGGAAATCTAAACATTTCTGAAAATCACAATGTTTTTCTGGGATTCATTGTCTGGGTACTTGTATTTCATGTTTCGTAATAATAATAATAATAATAATAATAATAATAATAATAATAATAATAATAATAATAATTCAGCCTGAAAAATAGCTCATCTGTGTTGGTGTTGGAATGTAATAAAAGTTTAAACTTTTGATCCCAACTCAACAAAAATTTCCAACCATGAAATTTTCAACCGTATACAACGGTCTTCCTCAGCACTCTGACTGGAATGTGACTTGAAAGCTACCAACGATCTACGATCCGATTTTAGAGTCACGTGTTTGTAAGATCATGTGCCCTGAATGGATGTAGCTTTCAAGCCACATTCCAGTCACGAGTGCTGAGGAAAATCGTGGTATATGGTTGAAAATTTCATGGTAGGAAAATTTTGTTGTGTTGTGATCAAAAGTTTAAACTTTTATTTCAATAATTCAGCTTTTGCTTTTTCTGAAAAAAAGTATTTAAATTCCTTTCATATTTTCAATCTTTAATTGCAAATTTAAATTATTTAAGATAATAGGAAAAGAATTTATGTACATAATTCAAGAAATAAAATTAATTTAACAATTAATAAATTCACCCAATAAATGCAGACACACAATAATATACAGTACTATTCAAAATATCGTAACAATCTTTATACGTTACTTATGTTAAGACACCTTACCTGTGGGTTCCAGAAAGAATTGCACGTTCTCACACCGTACCTGCCAGTTGGGTCATAATCTTCTGGTGTGTTGCTAGAGTGTGTCGTTGTAGTATAAAAATGGCAACTTGCGTTTCTGTTAAAATATCAAAGAAATTATTAATTGAGGTTTGAATTTATTTACAAATGTAATACATGTTTTTTTTTACATTGTGTGTATACATACCTAATGCAATTTTAAATAAAGTTAGTCTAATTAGTTAGTCTGAGTTAGTCTGAGTTGTTAGTCTATTAGACTAGCATTCGACAAACATACTATTTTACTCATAAAAGAACAGAATACATAAAATGGCATCTCACCTCCTTGCTACTCCGGGTACTACAAGAGTATGGCCAAATCTCATCGCAGCTGACTGAAAAATGTGGCTAATTTGGGGGTGAATATACGGTTTGTACCCTATATATAAGATATAACATTAGATACGATGATTTTTTTTCAATGTTTAAATGTTTAAATGAATGAATGAATTAGGTAATTGTTTATATTATTTATTAAAAGTTGTAATCACGAATAATGATTATGCGCAACTATCGTCTTTTCTTACCGTCATACGCATTTTCGTTCATTTCTTCTTCATCCATGTTAAGGAATGCAGGCAGCCATTCATACCAAACGATTTTCTAAAACAAATACGAACACATCATTTTTATAGTAGATATAATTACTGAGTTTGGATTGCTGGTTTAATGCACTATAATTAGTGTTTTATGTTAAAATGCAGAATTGGTACTGGTATGGGCATGCATAATGCGTCTCTTCCTTGCGGTTACAAAGCGCAGTTCTTTTCCCTGGTCATGGGGTCCACACACTAGTGTTGCTACTGGTAATCAGAGCAGGAGCAGGCAACACCACCAAGTATGCCTACCCATTTATACTCCTGGGTGGAGAGAAGCAATGCAGATGTCTTACTCTATCAAGGAGACAAGCAGAATGCACAGTGAGGGGTTGAAACCTCACTCGAGGTTGGGAAACAAGCAGAAGTGTTATAACACATTTTTTTTTATTGAGAATTGATTATATAAATAGAGATTGAAATATGGGAGCTGTTTATAGAAAAGAAATAGACTTACCTGATATGTTCCAATCACCCATTTCCTCGCTTCATTAAAAATCTGTTCATCATTCCAGTCAGGGTTTCTTGATTTAATGACATCGGCCCAATAATTGTGCCAGCGATACCACAATATCCCAAAAGTAAGGAGGTATGGATTTTCATCACCTCTTGGATTTCCAAGTTCTTAAGGAAACAGTTACAAATTTTCAATTTAATACAAGTTTCGCTAAATATTGTTGTTACCTGTTAGCCTAGGTGCTTATAAATGTCAAATTGCTTGTATTGTTTCCCTCACATCATCGTCATTATCTCGTTAATTTGTTAAAACTATTATTTTTGTACTACCTAATAAGCGTATTAATTGCAAATTGAGATTTTAATACGAATCATAAAAGTATACCCACAAGTGAAATAAATCAAAAATGATTATGAAATAGACCCCTGGTTCTGAATAGGCGGCCCGCAAGACAAATCTGACCTGCGGAGAAACTTATTCTGGCTCGCAAGAAAAAAATAAATTATAAAAAAGAACTTAACTAAATGCAATAGGACTTAATCATCGTTGAATATTTTTTTCAATAAAGTAAAGATCAAAACACAACACTGGGCCATTTTGTAGTAGGGGTGACCCCACTTAGACATCAAATTAAATCCGTTATCAACCAAATCAACAAGCGTCCAAGATTGGTAGTCTTAATGTAGCTACATATAACTAGATTTGTTCATTATGAGTACATCAGCGATTGTACAAGCGAAGTGATTTAAGGCTTTAACTGACATAGATCCTGCTGGCTTTGTCAGACAAACTAAGCCGGTAGGCAGGGGGATGCAGAGAATGCTGACACACCACCAAGTTTCAAACCTATACTGTTTATACTATTTCGCTAATATCGTTTTAAAATTTTTGCCAGCTCTCTTAAGCCGCTCTGGTGACTGCAGATGGATCCATATAACAAAAAGTGTAATAACAGTGTAAAACATTACATTTCCAGGTCCCTGACAACACCGAAATGAATGGAAATTTCTATAGAATTTTCACGAATTAGGCCTATGGGTTTAAGCATTCAAAATCTCAAATTTTCAGAGCTTCCGGGGGCTCTCTGAACACTCTCCACTGGTCCCGGGACATCGCCCTTCCCCTGCCGCCACCACTTTTATTTTGTGATGATTTAACACAAGCAAGAAAACATCAATAACGCATAGGGCCTAAATGATGAAAAATGAAAAGTCTTCCTTTGGCAATATATTAAATCAATGTTACGGTTGCAGTAATTACATGTAGTGTCCTAATATTGTACTGTAGTACAATTAAAAACAGAATAGAATTTGATATTGCCAAACACATTGAGGTCTTTCCGGCCAATAGTGGGATTCAGCTACAGTATCTCAGAGTTTCGCCTTAGGTCCATAAAGTATAACAAGTTGCTTGCAACTTGGAGGTTATCTTTCTCCTATGAGGCCAACTTCATACTACAACTTCAAACATTTTTTGGCCTTTGAAATACATTGAGAACCAGGGAAATAGACATTAACATTCTGAAAAAATTGACATACAAACATGAATATATTCACATAAGTATGAGTACTTCTTACTGAAAAATCGTGTAACATCACGTAATTTATGGTCGGCAGACTCGGCAGGAGGAGGTGGGTTTGCCATTGGAAGACCAATTGTATTTTTCTCTGGAAATTCTCCTCCAGCAAGTTTTCCATCTTTAAATGAGCGTAGCGCATCAGCCCATGCTTTTGTTGTTCCGTAAACTAGTCCCCCGTCCATCCATGGTGTGATTTCATTCAACTAAAATAAAAGGGGTAAATTTCATTACATCTTTACATTACTTTATATATTTAGCACCCATTCAAATACAATACAACATAAAGTAACAATGACATACAAAATATAGAAAAATTTGCCTGATGGTGGACGACCCATAAAATCAACAAACGTTAATTTATTCCCAATGGGGGCAAAGAAGGTTCTTCCTAAATATTATGAGGCAACTGAAGTGAACATTTGGGCAAGGTGGGAGCCCTACTGTCAGATAATTGACAAATTTGTGTGAATTTTATTAGAGGATTACGCTACTTTATATGAATTTTTTTGCAATGTCCAAACCAAAGTCAAAGTAGTGGTTCCTTTCACATATGATCACAATGAATTCAAAACAGGCACTTCACGGTAGCTACATGCTCACATCATTCCACAATAATAATAATAATAATAATAATAATAATAATTTGCGATTTGTATAGCGCCTCCTGTTAGACCAACCTCGAGGCGCTTCACAACAACGGAAGGAAACGGACAAGAGAATAAAAAACCATGAACCTAGACTAACAAAGAAAAAAGAAAACGCCTAAACGAACCAAACCAACACCGCACCGTTTATCAGCAATTTAAGGCGTAAAGCCCGCCGATGCATGACTCACAGGTGCTCAAGTGATGGCGGTGTCTAGCTAAGCAGTTAATGGAAAAAGAAGGAAAAAAACAAAATAGTGGTAAAAAGTGTCTTAAAGGAATTCAGCAAAACTTTCAGTGAAGAGGTGAGTTTTGAGTTGTGTTTTAAAAAGCTGAAGTGAGTCGGCGTTTCTGATTTCCTCTGGAAGTGCATTCCATAAGGTAGACGCCGCAGAGGTGAATGCCCGTGAGCCGTATGTGATGGTAGTGCTTTTCGGAACTTTTAGAAGATTCTTAGAAACGGATCGGAGATAGCGTGTTTGCGTGTAAGGAGTCAGGAGTTCGGTGATGTATTCTGGAGCAAGATTGTTCATTGCCTTTTATGTTAACAGCAATGTTTTATAAATAATTCTTTTGTCGACAGGAAGCCAGTGAAGATCATATAGTATGGGTGTAATATGGATACGTCGCTTAGTTAAGGTAACCAGACGAGCAGCAGAATTTTGAATACCTGTCTCTTATACAATTTTGAATACGCTGTAGCTTAGCTATTTGTGTCTTGGGTAGTCCAGAGATGAGACTGTTGCAATAGTCGAGCCGTGAATTGAGAAAGGCATATATCAGACGTAGAGTAGTGGAGTAATGGGTTTGTCGACAATGACAGAGGCTGAAATGAATCATAACATCGAGGTAACCCCCTACGCTTCCAGGGGCGGATCCAGAAGTTTTGGTTAGGGGGGGGCTATAGGTGTATGTGTAAAGTGCCTGCGGATGCTAGGTTTGGGAGGAGGTGTCTCCGTCCGATAAGATGGGGTTCAGAGGGGTAGCTGAACGCTTTAGCTATTAGATGTATGTATGTATGTATGTGTGTGTGCGTGTGTGTGTGTGCGTGTGTGTGCGTGTATGTATGTATGTATGCGTGTATGTATGTATGCGTGTATGTATGTATGTATGCGTGTATGTATGTATGCGTGTGTGTATGTATGCGTGCGTGTGTGTATGCATGCGTGTGTGTGTGTGTGCATGTGTGCGTGTGTGCGTACGTACGTACGTACGTATATATATATATATATATATATATATAGAACTGGAGGTCGCTGGAACAGAATGTTGCTACTCGGAGTTTCACGCTATTGCGATCGTCAGGCAACTGAAGAAAGGTGAACGTTGTGGGGTGATGTGACTTGCTTGTGCGGACGTAGTATGAAGT